AAGTGCCTAGAGTATCTACCAGGTTGCCGTTTCCACAGATCTCCTTTTCAACGAGGGTGCAACGTCAATTCGATTTAATTGCACACAACTATGTATTGTGCTTGGTACGAGGAAAGCTTAAAGCCGGCGAAAGAGGCTATAACCAATAATGCTTCGAGCAAATCAAGCCAGATTGTCTTGTAGGTATGCCTTGGTCTACATTATTATGCATCTTTAAGTAATAGGCTTGCTGACCTCAAATCGCAACAGTTTTTCAGCAGACTAAGAATATAAATTTAAGTATTTCTGCTTAAGTTTTTTATTTCAGTCTTCCGTGCTTATGTTGCAAGCCACCATTAAGATAGAAATAAAAAGCAAACTTCCAAGTTACGGCCTTAAACATCTATTTTTTGGCAGCTCAAAATTCCTTGCAGCACAGTGAGTCCATTTAGAGAGAAAATGACTGCACATCGCGGTTGCCTTATTGATTACCCCATATGAGTTGCACACATTTTAATCAGAAATTTACATCAGTTTTAGGCGCAACCTAAAAAGCACCCGGGATGGCTGCGAAAGTCTGGGATCAATTGCAGCACGAAATGCCCGATAATTGGCCAATTGCACTGGGATTGGGACACCGCGCCGATGAAAGACAATGCGGCGTAATGCTAATGCTTGCAGCGCCGGCCCACATGGGTTCGCCATGGTTACAGATGTAGCTGCAGCCATGGTGGGTTGTGGATCAGTGGATCGGCGGATCGGCGGATCGGCGGATCGGCGGATCGGTGGATTGGCGGATCGCAGCACAAGCCACTTAACGAGGTCGGACCCATAGCAGCACGTAGCCATTAGCCATATAATGCGGCGGGCAGCCAGCCGAACATTTGGATTACAACGAAACCTCGAAAACGAGACCAAGCTAATATCAAGTATACGGGCTGTTCGCCGCTTATCGGCCCGTTGTTGCGGTAATTATAATGCGCCATAGTCACGCCAGACACGCTGCATAAATATTTAAATGAAATAATAACAAATGCTAGAAGTAAATAAGGCAGCAACTGTAAAAATAATACGTAATGCCACAAAGGCGCACACGGGCAAATATGAGCCGCCGTCGAATTCCAATTCCAATTCCAATACCCCAATCGACTTTTGTTGCTGTGGGGAATTTGGAAACGAGTGGCTGCCGTGTCTGGGTTTTTGAGTGGCTCTCCGTGGATCTGGCCGTACTCCCTTGTCCTGGCCATCCTCCGCATCTGATACTCCGCTGCGGACGCCACTCCCCTTCGCATTTTATTTTAATTTCTGTCCCGGCTCGAGTTTCAAAAACCAATAATGCGGCTGCCATCAGCAACATCAACAGCAATGGCAAAGCGGCTACGACGACAGCAACATGGTGCACAACAAGCAATAAAAACGGCATAAAATTCAAAATGAAAGCTAAACGTCCACGCCGACCTCCCCGACACATATATATGGCCCCGTTCCCCGATGATCTGCTGTGAGCTGCATAAAAGTAAGTAATATCGTAAAATTACAGGAAATAAAATCGCAACGTAAATACGTGTAAGTGCGACAGTCAGCCAACTTTCCCAGCTGCTGAAATTGGCAGAAAAATTATGGCAAGAGCGGGGGGAGCGAAGGGACCTTTCTGGGGAGGGCAGCCCATTAAAGTTCAAGTTGGACATTACAGGGCCATATTCTGGGCCAATGTTTTGGAAAATACTCGTATATAATGCCCGTTGCCATAAATGTGTTTTCGGGGGCTGTTGGCCCGCAGAGCTTCCTCCTCCGATAAAAACAAATGAGATAACTTTGCCGAGCCACCCGAGCGGAATACGCAAGTTCAGAGTTGCAAAGTGGCAGATATAAAAGCGTTTTCTCCCAGCACCTTTCTATCAACTCACAATTTCAAACAATAAGAAACTAAGGATTTCCCATTTGGAATTATAATGTTGTAGTACTCTATGGACAGCCGACTCTTATCGAACATGTCAGCCAGGCTTAGGCTCTTAAACGTGGCTTAAACAAGCCAGCCTACTTTTTGCGCTGGTCCAACACCCCTAAGCCCATAAAGTTCGTTGCCAATTAAAGTTTTGAATGTTTTAATACATGTGGAGCGAGTCTGCGGACCAATAAGATAAACAACTGCATGTTGTGCATGGATATTTCTTCTGAAGCAACTATGAACATCTGCACAATCGGCAGTTGCAGTTACCGAGTGTGTAGCCCCATAATCATTTCAAACGGCAAATTACGACGGCGGGGAGGGGTTGCAACAATTGCAACAGCAGTTACAGTGGCAACAACAATTGCTGCCACATGAGCGTACAGCAGGCAATGAAATGGGCTTTTAATCAATTTCCGGTATTAAAGTCTAGCCAAACCAAGCGACCAGCCAGCCAAACAATCCCACAGTTGTGTGCCCATTGTTGGTCCTGCTGGCCGTCATTGTTGTTGTATTTAATTAACAAACAATTTATATTCATAAGCCCCAATCGCTCACATGCAAATGCACAGACGACTTGGGAGTGGAGCAATCACTCCGCCGAGTTGTGATATGCGAAGTGCAGATACCCTTTGTGGTACTGTACAGAGGCGGAAAATAAAAAAGCACCACCTATGATGATTTATACACTTCGATTAGGTAAATACCATTAACGATAAGCGGAGTTAAACATGAGCCCTGTAGTTCGACGAAATAATGTGATATTATACTGTCATGCATTTTGAAATATTACGTGTTCGATTGAACTTCGCGATGTGGCTGCAATAAATATGGCAAGAAACCTAAATGTGCATGCTACAGTCGCAGTCACATATGTGATTGTTTAGTAAGCTCTCACATCCGTAAGTCAATGCTTTCTTGACCCTCGGAGTAACTGGGCCCTTGTGTAACGCAACGTGGCAGTGGAAAGGAGCACTTGCCACAACAGAAGCGCCAGTGCAACGCAACAATATGGAGCTGATTGGGGCGCCCCGCCTTCTGACTGCACATTTCAGATTTGACGCCGCCACGTGTTGGCACAACACACTCGATTGGATTGCACACGTCGTGCATCCTGACCACCACTGAACGCTGGCCACGGGATGTGTGAATGCACCGTGAAAAACATATTTTAATTGGCTTGAGCAATGCACCGTACTTTGTTGAACTAGACTGGTCTCTTGCCCCCGAATAACGCGTACCTGGAAACATTGAGTTATAATTTTGTGTGATCTTCCTCCTCCGTCGCCCTGACACCCAATTAACCCCTGCATGCGCATCAGCGATTCTGGAGCGGCACCTGGCAGCTTGGCAGCTTGGAAAATCATTAATTAGGCGCGGCCAAACACAGGAACCAGAGAAACGCACGAGAAATATTATAATGAACACGCAGGTGGGGGGGTGTGCGCAAAACGGCGCCCCCCAACTAATTAGCAATCTTGGCTAAGAAGTGCTTGGCGGAAAAGACCAGTCAGGGGCACTGAAAAGACATTAGGAGGCAAAGACATGCATCAGCAAAGCGACAAGGTCGGTAGAAGGCTCGAAAAAGGCTTAAGTGAACAACAAAATAGTTTTTATATATATTTTGGCCAACTTCTTGTGCCGCATTTACATGGCAGCTGACATTTGTGTCAGTGGAATATTTAAATGGCGATTATGAACGTCCATAATCGGTGACGCAAAGCACTCACCGAGTGGAAAGCAGCCAACATTGTATGGCTGCAAATTGCACGAGAACGAATATAAATACGAGTGCTTACACATTATGCTCTGCGGCAGATTCAGTCTAACCACAAACTCATTACGGCCCATTCTCTCCGGCCCGCCCCTCCACCGCCCCTACTCCTCCTCTTTCCGCTTTAATGACAGACGAATATTCCGCATAATATAGACATTTTCTACGGCCCCGACTTGGCCAAGTTGAAGAACCGATGAGGAGACAAAACCGAGCCAGCTGAATTGCGACCTGGCAGAAACCACAAAAACTTGCCTTTGGTTATTTTGTGTCTGGCATTGTCATTGCGGCTGCTGCTGCTGCTGCTGCTGCTGCTGCTGCGGCGATGTTGCTGCTGTCACGGCTGTTTTGCTGGCCAAAACGTGCAATTAAATGCTGTATAGCTTCTATAGCTGCCGCTGCCATAAGCCATGGTCCGTACACAGAGAATTACTATTTGAAAGGCTGCCAATTAATTAGGAAAAATTCAAAGAAACGATCATTACCTCAAATACTTATACATTGTACTCGGCAGTCGAGAAGAGCAATTGCAAAGTAGCTCGCTTACAGAGGGATTTCAAACACCATACTATACTTCGAAGAATCACTCCTTCTAGATCCACGAAAATCGAAATCATATTTACTTCGAGATTAAGCAAAGCTCTTAAAATTATACTCGCCTGAATGACCTTAGCAATTTCCAAAGCAGACATTTATGTTCTCTAAACACCTCCATTAAATTGTTTGAAATTCTCAGAAAAAAACCGGAAGATATATATTAAAAATAAAGATCCGTTCTGTCGTTTTTAATGGGCTTGAACCCAGACATAGCTCTTTGTTTTCTAGTTGAGTGGAAGTCCATTTGACTCGTTCGAAAGATTATTCATAGGCTTGATAGATCTAATAGGAATAGACCCATGATAAATATTCAGAAGTTTAAATAAATGCTTCACATTTTCAGTTTCTCTCTCTGTAGGACAGTGGATGCAACTTATTGGCAGTTGCTTGCCAAATGCAATGAATGAAAATTGCACAAAAACAAAGGCAGAGGCCAGAACACAATTACAGCCAGCGGAGGCATTCACCAGGCAAATTATTGATTGGCAACCACAGAGATGCATTCCGCCGAGAAACCGAGAAAGATACGAAGATACACAGATGCAGAAGTGCAGCATCGGTCGGCACTCACTAATGATGATGACGCCGACCACTGGCCGACCATATTGGCCATTGGCCACTATTCACTCTCTTTTGGCCGCCATTGACATTGAAATCTGGCAATTTGCAGTCTTTGCAATTAGTTTTTATTTCTTGGCCGAAGCAAACACCTCGCGCATCGTCGCGAGCATTTTCGAATAAATTTCTGTTCAGGATCGGAGCACGAGGAATTTCCGCGGAAATCATCCGGTATGACAAACGGTGGCAGGTTGCATAAGTTCCTATAAAATGTTCAACTTTCCCATACCTCGAGAGCCAGCTTCAACTGCAGGCAGTGGATTGCACTAATGGCCAGTGGATTATTTATACGCGTGCATTTCTAAAGTTCAAATTTGCCATTCGTCGAAAGTGTATTCTGTGCATTTGTGTATTTTGCCCATTTAGCACGTCTATAAATAGCACCCGCTCCTCACTCGCCGGCGATCATCGAGTTGGGGCTTTGGGTTTCTGGGCCCCGACCCCTCCTGCTCTCCTTCATGCAACTGCGACTGTCATTCGCCCCACAAGTGGGTCACATCGTCATCGCCGCAGAGAAGCCTTGCTCCACATTGCCCACTGTTCTCGCTTCCGCTAATCTCGAGCCAAACTGCGGCAAGCGAATGTATTTATATATATATGCATGCAGGGCATGAATGCGGCACAAGTGGCTGGCGGTCTGCCTGTGGCTAATACCCAAGGCATATGGCTGCACTGAGAGAAATCGTGGCATGCAATAATCAATGATCACCTCAGAAATCCAAACTCAAAGCCTGCGAGAGCTTCATAAAGATTTAATCGTAAATTTTAAATTTTCGTGGGGCTGCCGCATTTATTTTCGGTGTAAAGCGATGGTAGATCTTATTTTCATGCTACAAGCTACGTCTTTTCAGTTTTCCAGCCGAGTTCATGCAAAAGCCAACAGCACTGATAATGAACAGGTTTATGCTGATTGCTCGCCTTCCTTTTCCACCTTTTGCCGCTTTCTGAGACTCTTTGGAGTGTTTTGAGTGTCTGTGCGTAGGCACAAACTTTGGTGCCCGTCCCCGGCCAAGTTCCATTCCCAATCCCTGTCACATTAATCACGGCAACATTTGCCATGCAATTAACCAAATGAAGCCTGCATTTAAGTGCTGACAATGATGATTATGATGGGGACTTCGAGTTGGACTCGAACTGGGAATGAACTGGGAATGGGAATGGGACTGGGAGTGGGTCTGGGTCTGGGTCTGGGGAAATCGGCGAAATCATTAGGCTAATGTGGTTAGTTGAACATCGATAAGTGAGTGTGCCCCATGGGCAGGCGGCGATGTGACTCCGCTTAATGCGCATTTAATACCCCTTTGAGTCATTAGAAATTCAATCGAGCCGCTCAAAATAATTGACCCCCCCTCGGTTTCGATTCGCGACAGTCGTTTCTGGCTATTCATCAAACCCGAATCACAATCGAAATGCAATTTGCTGATTTTGTGATGGCAAATTGAAAAAAAAAACACTGCTACAAAAAGTATTGACGCAGACATTCATTGTCGGCGTGGCTTTTTTCCAGCTTGTCTTCTTGGCCAAACAGCCGTGAACAGGTTAACGAGGAAAAAGGACAAACCGTCAAAAGCATTCCGCCATAATTGAATTACAAAACTAATATCATACGCTGTTGTTGCCATCTTCGCGCAACAACAAAGCTGCACATCGCACTTTGAGCGCAAGTCACAGTAAAATATAACGCATACGCCACGTTGCGCGGCCAAGCGAAATTGAATGAATGGTGACGAAAGCTTCCTTGGAAGCGAGCACATTAGTCACTTTCTTTGCTATATTTAAACAAAAAAAAATTTAAGAGCTGCGCCTAATTCCAACATTTATATTTTCTACGAATTATTATATAAATATATAATTATAATTCTATTTTCCTACGAACTTTATTTTATGCTTTTGCATACTTCGTCATTCAGATTTCCGAATCTACTAAAAACTAAAATAGACAACTGTGATTCATATACTTACTTCTGTGTAGCCGTGATGTTTTGCAAGTTAACTGATATGCAGCAGTCATTAAAGAGCCAGAAAATGTGATTCTGCAAAGCTCGTGCCACTCAGTTGCGGCATTCGCTTTCAGGAACGGAACATGGTGGGTTCTTAAACAGCTTTTCAGCGCTTTTCGACCTGCGTTCGCCGCTTTTCCGGCGCCCCTTAACCCCACAGTGGCCATGCCGTCGGTTGGCTCGCCAATCACGCGTCGCAAACATGATTTATTTCGTCAATTTATGCCCAGAGTGTAAAACGATTTGCTGCCGTGTGTCAAACGAAATATTATGACGTGCACTATCACTTACGTGTGCTGTGCAGCCCTGGCAAGTGTGTGTGATGTGGGGGAGCAGTGGGCGTGGCACTGCACTTGGGGGAAGGTGCCCCACTGGACGCCAGACTCACTGAATTGGCATTCGCAATTTAGCAAAAAGGGAAATTACATTTAAATTGAATTGTAAACCGAATAAATTGAGGGTTTTTGGGTAGGCGATGGGAGGAAGTTTGTGCGCATTTGAATTGCCAGATATTCACGATTACCATTACCATTGAACGCAAATGGCATTCAACTCTTTCTGCGGGCTACTGTCTGTATAATTTTCCATATATGCATGTATTTGGGAAGTTATCAACCGTTACACAACCTTCCTGAATGCCTAACTGCATGCGCTTTCTCAAAAGTGAGCACGGCTGATAAGTTCCAGTCAATTAACTACGTTTTTACCACTGGACTTGAAAATTCGCACTTTTTGAACCACAATCACATTAAGGGTATATGATGATATAGTCGTCAGGTGTGTTGAGTGTATAATATATGGGGGCATAATCAACTTTTGCGATAAAGGACAATTGCCATTTGATTTGAGTTGTGTGTGCTGAATGCGGGCAGTCAATGCTGAATTTGTGTTTATTGTGACCACATCAAGTCCGGCAAACAATGTATTGGGGAGAACAATAAATAAAATTTTAATTTATTTAGGAGATGGAATATCCGACACAAAGCGGGCGGAAAACCAAACACAAAATTAAACCCGTATTTGTACTGCACACCGGCCAATCGCTGGGCAACGGGGAAGGCCAAGGGAAATTAAACATTTCTATTTAATCCCGTCATTAAAATTATTGAGCTGTGATGGGGCCTTTAAGGGAGCTGAAAACTGGAAATGTCGAGCGGATTGCGCAACCGCAAAATGCCGACTAATTAAATTAACTGGAAACATATGCAAAATTAGTGCAATCAGTCCGTTTCTGCAGAGCCGATTAATGATGTCTGAACTAACGGTGATTTAGGTGCAATTAAAGTGCAAATTCTCAAATATTTTTCTGCTGAGACGCCGCTCCCGTGCGATATGCAAATTAAGCAAGTGCCAACTAAGCTATCTATGGCCGAGTGCAGATACAGATACCCGTACCCACAAGACACCAGACACCAGATACCGAATTGCGAATCGCGAATTGCGAATAGCGACTACAAGATACCAGATACCAGACACCAGAAGCCAAAAGCCAGAAATCAGACGTTGCAATAGCCATCGCAACAATTTTTATCGCATGTGCATTTTCTTGGCCCACGACGCCAACGACGATAAATGCAAATCTTGACAGTTTTCTCTGAAACATTTTTATTTATTTGGGTTGCAGTTTTTCTGCCTGTGCTTTCATCCCCGTCTATTTTCTTGGCTTTAGTTTTCATTGTCTGCCCGTCTGGGTTTGCTATGGTTTTGGCAATTTCGCCATTTGGCCATTCGGAAAGCACGTTTCGTGCTCGCACATCCGCCGCGTTTGAATGACCATTTGTTGGTAGTTGCCGCTCTTAAAGATACAAATGTATCTAACCCACAGAGGAGAGCAGTATGCTAACTTCAGGCGTTTATCAGTACTAGCTCTAGTACTGCACCATGTTATTACTAAATAAATTAAGCAATTTCTTAACTTGCAACGAATGTTTATATAACCTAACAGATTTATTTTAAGGCTAATTTAAAAGCACTGAATTGTTACATGCACACCCAGATTTATATAGAATATTGGAGACTCAACTAGTCCTCGGAATTCATTATTGCGGAATGTTTATTAATCCATTATATCCATTTCACGGTGGACCACAGTTTCCGGTTTCGATCCGTGTACCCACCATGAAAGGTAGGGCGACTGGGGTTTTCTCGTCCGAGGCTACGGAATCACAATATCGATTGCTACTTGCCTTCTCATACATAATTCATTGAGGCCTGGTCGGGTCGTTTAATATGAAAGCCAATTAATTAAACTCTCAACAGTAAGCGTCACGACTAAAAGCTTAGAAATTACTTAATAAATTACTTTCATTAAAGCCACAAAGGAAAAGTCAGCGGACAGGGCACCCACTTCCCATTCCCCTTCCCTTCCCTTTCCGCAGCCCCAGCCACAACCTTACCCCTCAACTTCCCCTGGACGACACCGTCAGGCGTTGATTTATATTAATCGACCCGCTTGCAGAGCTCCAGGCATTATTTATTTCAGGCAGCAGCAAAAACAAAGCAGCGGCAAAAAAATATGCCAAGTAATAAATTGAATGAATCTACACATCACATGGGGGCTCGCTAAATGCACGGAAAGAAAAAGGGGTTCCGACACTAACTCTTTTCCTAAAATATCGAAATAGGTTATTATTAGGCTGGTAATGTTGTATCAGGTAATTGACACGGTAAGTTGGGACACAAAGATAAAAATACAATTACTTATAAATAACTAATTTGGTTAGCAATACATTTTCTTAGTGTATTCTTTCGATGTGGTATTTGGAAATTGATAAAGTATTAGTCTTGTAAATTTCTATCGACTTACCGAAATCTTTTTGGCACGCCCACAAACCGCCCAAAACTGCCACGACCGCTCTTTTGAAATATGAGTTGAAATCTTTTCATTTTATTATTTGTTTCTTCAATTTCTATCGATATACTAAACAAAATTTTGTCCCGGCCTAATCTAACTCCCACAAGCCGCCCATAACCCCCACGCCCACACTTTTATTGTACCCGTTACTCGTAGAGTAAAGGGTATACTAGATTCGTTGAAAAGTATGTAACTGGCAGAAGGAAACGTTTCCGACTACATAAAGCATATAATATATATAATGTATATAATATATTATATATTCTTGATCACAATCCATAGCCTTGTCGATCTGGCCATATCCGACTGTCCGTCCG